TTCCACTAGGTATTCCATAAGTAAATTGGGACTTTCAGTTAAGACTGCTTGGTATCCTTGGTACACTGAAGGAGAGGTAATATATAACTTAATGTTATATTCACTTTGGGTAGGGTAAAGAGCTGCTAGGCACTCTATATGTGATGTCCCCTATTTTGGATTCTACTATATAATTTGGAGGCAATTACTGGCAAAATTTAAGATAAGAGAGGATTTTTCAATTATGGGTTTTCGTATGATTGTTAAGCGTATGTCTCTTTACAGGTTTTTAAGCTTGTATTGTAATTATCTATGCAGGTTGGCGGATATGTAGTTGAATATCAGAACTTGACTTTTGTTACCATTCGAGGGTCTGGCCATTTCGTTCCCAGTTATCAACCGGCTCGAGCACTCACACTCTTCTCTTCGTTCCTTAATGGGATGCTTCCCCCCTCAAATTAGAGCTTATGGACAGGGAGGATAACAGTTACAACCATATCAATAATAATGCTTAATAACTTCCTTTTCTACTTAATAAAAAGGTTGTAATTGTATTATCAAATTAAAATTATCTTTCCTTTCAATTACCTTCACGCTTTTATTGTTTTTTTATATATAAGAAATGATAGAAACTTCCATTAATTCACATAGGAGTAATAAGATTTAGAGAAAAAACCAAAACATTGGAGCTTTGTCTCTCCAAATTATAGGATCTTTAAAATTAAATACAAATCTGGCGAAGATATGAGTTGCTTCATTTTTGGAAAAACGGATCCCAAAGAACGAAGTTCTAGAAAAACCCTTAGCATACTCTTGAATTAATCAATAAAAAACCCAACATCTGAGAAATTTCTTTGCATTTGTCCAGTAGCCTCAATGATATTCCTTGGCTCACCTTCTACAATAATATTAGAACAACTCATTTCCAAAATGCAAAACCAACTGCTTTAGATGCCAAGCTTGCATTGTTATAATAATATATTTGGTGGATGGAAATGGAAAGCACGTGGAGTCAAGTCTTGGCAGTACTTACAATTAATTGTATAGCCCATGATTTGGTGACCACAAATAATAAAAAGGGTAAATTTTCTTGACGCTCCCTCGAGATTGCCCTAATTGCAGGAACACCTCCTATAATTTTTGAAATATAACTATTATCCCTTGTCAGATCATGTCGATTAACGGACTTCACATAGATTGTCATTTTACTGAATTACCCTTTAAGGCTTCAACCTTATTGTTTACCTTTGACCCCCTATGCTTTCTCAATTACCTTGCACACACCCCAATTTAATTTACAATTTAGTTTCATCATATTCAACTTTAATTTCATCAAATTGGCATCTAATTTTTTTAATACAAATATTAATTCCATCACACTAACACTAATTTCATCAATTAAACAATAAATTAATATTTAATTTCATCAAATTAATATTTTTAAATTAATGTTTCTAATTAAAACACTCAATTTATTTATTTAATAATTTAGTTTCATCAAATTGAACTTCAATTTCATCAAATAACTTTATTAATTTGAATATTAATTTCATCACACTAACAATAATTTCCTCAATTTAACACCAAATTAATATTTAATCTCATAAATTTTATCAAATTAACATTTTAAAATTTAATTTTGTCAAATTAACATTCAATCTATTTAATTTAGAACTTAGTTTTATCAAATTGACATTTAATTTCATTAATTTAAATATTAATTTCATCACACTAATGCTAATTTCATCAATTTAATACCAAATTAATATTTAGTTTCATCAAATTTATATTCAATTTCTTCAAATTAATACATTTAATTTCATTAATTCAAATATTAATTTCATTACACTAACACTAATTTCATCAATTTAACACCAAATTAATATTTAATTTCATCAAATTCATATTCAAATTAACATATTTAATTTTATTAATTCAAATGTTAATTTCATTATACTAACACTAATTTATCAATTTAATCAAATTAATATTTAATTTCATTAAACCCGTATTCAATTTATTCAAATTAACATTTTAAAATTTAATTTCATTTGATGAAACTAAATTCTAAATTAATTAAATTGAATGTTAAGTTAAAAATTTAAATATTAAAATTTTAATTTGATAAAATTAAATATTAATTTGGTGTTAAATTGATGAAATTAATATGTTAACTAATAAAATTAAATATCAATTTGATGAAATTGAAGCTCAATTCTAAATTAAATAAATTGAATGCTAATTTGATAAAATTAAATTTAAAGTATTAATTTGATAAAATTGAATATGAATTTGATGAAATTAAATATTAATTTGGTGTTAAATTGATGAAATTAGTGTTAGTGTAATAAAATTAAATATAAATTTGATTAATAAAATTGAAGAGTCAACTTGAGGGTAAATTTGGTATTCCAGTGTAAAAAAAAAAAAAAGCTATGATATGAGTTATTATGTTACATGTCACTAACGGCAGTGGTTGTAGGAGTATTAGGTGAAACTTGTGATAAACTGCGAGGGTGTGCAGTGATATTTTAGAAATTATAGGGGGAGCCTTGTAATTAGGCCAATCTTGAAGGACAGTTTGTCCAGGAAGCTTACACTGCTCATATATTTGTCCAGGTTCAAGTGAGCTTTTTGAAAAAGCATTTTCTCTCATTGGGAAGAAGAAGAATATTGTTGATTGTCGGCCAGATATCTACACATACCCAATCATCTTAAAATCAGGGTGCCCTGCTCTGCCAGCAGGTTTAATGAGTTTGACAAAGTGCAATCTCAGTTTTCCGGCTTAGCATCCCGGGAAATCAAGCCCAACAAACGTGGCAATCCAAGTAGTAGACACATAAGATAGAATGGCCTTCTTAAGCACTGGATTGTGCAGAAAGTTGATCATGACCATAATTTGCCCTCTTGATCTTGAGACATCTGTGTAACCCAACATCAACACTAATGCCAAATCTTGGTTTCCACTCCCGTTTCATGCCATGTCAATCCTTCCCTTTACATTTTATAGTATAATTAGGTTACATGTGTCGACATATTTTATGCGCGTGAATGTATATGTCTTTTATATTATAAGCTTGATGTGCATGTGTGATCCTACACCTCATCCCTTGGAGCTGCAATTTATGGTGTTCTTCTTCAAAAACTATACCACAAACACCTTAATTCACTTGACTATGAAGCAAAAGAAATTTTTTAGCTATGTTTTAGCTTTGCAAAACATATATGTGATCAATATTGTTGATTAGAAATACCAAAAGCAGTAGGAGCTTAGAGTGTGAGAAACGAAGATAGACTGCACGGCTGCACCTAAACATACATAAACTTCTCCTAAAATGGTCGAAACTTGATAATGGACATCTTGTTGAAGTAGATAAACGTGAACCTCTTACCTCCTTTTCTTTGGGCAAGCTAACACTACAGCTGCTGATGGAAGCCCCGTTCTTACACTTAGGTAGGACCATTAATGAATAGACTGTGTCGTGTTAGTTTTGTGTCGTGTTTAATTGTTATTCAACCTATATTCCATGTATTTTATAGTTATTTAGTGTTAGTTGTTGTATTTGGTTCACATCATGTGTAAGTTGCGTATAAACCAAATTTAACATATTAATGTTAATCGATTTCAAAAAACCTATTTAATCAGCGAGTTTAATGAGTCCCTCCATTTACTACTCCAACTCGTAAAATTCAAGTCAAATATGCTAATATCGTGTCCGCTTCGCAAACTGACTAAAATTGGCAAACCTGCCCTTAGGTTGACATCGTAAAACAAGCCAACATCATGCGTCACCCATGGAAAAATGGACAGAACATATCAAGTTCTATAATGTAATAACTGTCATATCATCACATACAGTGTTGGCATTAGCTGCCTGCTTGGCCCCGTGGATAAGCAAAACATAATCGAAATCAAAATTGGATTAAGATAATCCCCACACCATATTAACATTCAACCTGTGAAGTAGAAGAGAGTAAGACAATTTGAGAAATGACTGATTAATTGTCCAAGTATTAAAAAGAAGAGAAAACGGAACTTCCCATGCCATGTTTATACGTACCAAATTCTAATGCTCCGTTTGGTTGAGAGGATGAAAAATAGGAGAGATGGAAAGTAGAAGAAATACATTTTCTATCCTTCAAAGATGAAAAGTAGGAAAAATACGCTTTCCTTCCTTTGTGTTTAGTTGGATGGATGAAAAATAAAAATGACTATTTTTTTTTTTGTGTTGGATAAGATTAGGGGTGATAATAGAATCGAGTCGTGTCGTGTCAAATTTATGTTGAGTCATTACGAGTTTGTGTCGAATATTAATCAAACTTAATTTAACTCATTTAACTAATTGTGTCGTGTCAAGTTGCAAATTGACCTATTTTTTGTTGTATCGAGTTCGAGTCATGTCATCGTGTTGAGTCGAAAATTTTAACTCTTAGTTAAGATAGAAAAAATATTTTTTTTTTAATTTGAAATTTTTATTTTTTTATTTTTTATTTTTTAAAAAAATTTTAAAATATATATACATATTTTACTATTATATTTTTATATGAAATTAATGTATACATAAGATATATAGACAAATAAGATACATCTCAATACAAATAATTAACTTCCACTTTCTTTCCGATTTTGGAGGGATTGATTTGGTGAGTTGGAAGGAAAGTTAATTCATCCACTTTTCTATCCTTCTTACTTTTCTTCTTTATCAATCATGATATTTTATTTATCCTTTCAAATTTCTATCCTTCTAATTTTTTATCCTCTTATTTTTTTCATCGTACTAAACGAAGCATAAAAAAAATCGATCAATTGATCATTTGCCGTCTGGGAAAAGGATGTTCTAACAACAGCTGGCCACATAAGATTTTCAGACAACTATGTCAAACTAATTTTACACGAACAACGATTATTGTCTATAGCCTTAACATAATATATCCTCGTCCCTACATTCCTTCCACTCACCTATATAAATGCATGGGACTTAACAAAACTGCTCAACACTCCAAAAACTTATGTCAACATGAAAATGGAGGTCTCACCTCTAGCTTGGCTGCTGCTAGTATTACTCTCTTGCCACCAACTGACTTTCCCTACCCTCTGCACTGCCAACCAAATCAACAAGCTTAACGAATTGATCGAGTCTCAAAGATCAAGTAATCCTCCTCGCACAGAATCACGGGTAGAAACTGATTTTGTTGACAGACCAGTCTACGTTGGACCTCAAGATGGGTTGATGGGAACTGATAAGATTGATGCTTTGCCAGGACAGCCAGAAGGAGTGGACTTTGATCAGTATGCAGGATATGTTACAGTTGATCCAACGGCTGGAAGGGCATTGTTCTATTACTTTGTTGAGTCGCCACATAATTCTTCCAGCAAACCTCTGGTCCTATGGCTCAATGGAGGTAATCTAATAATTCTATTTTCATCAATAATACAGTAGCATACTGAATTCTAAAAGTAACAAGGTTCAAGTTCAAAGCACTATTCTGCCTGATTTTATTGGTGTTCTGAGCGCCATGAATAACAGATATTAAAAATGGTAAATTTATAAGTATTCTTGTTGAATTGACCTGTAGCATAAAAATACACTTCAAGTTCACGAAAAGTTAACAAAAAATCAATCGATCTCATTCTCAAGAAGTTTTTGGCTTTCCACAGCCTCTATTGATTGTTCAAAGTTATAGAATGCATGCATGAGTACTATTTTTTGGCATAGGATAACATAAAGCCTTTAGATTCATCGAATTATAATCCAACCCATCTGTTTGACATACCTCTCTCTCCTCTCTCCTCTCCCCCCCCCCCCCCCCCCGGCCACACCCCCCAAAAAAAAATAAGTCAAAGATAAAAAAACACAAAACAGTACTGTCTCATAGAAGTTAAAGAAATTTCTGATCACATTTCTGACTGCCTCTACCTTCTGCAGGTGTAATATGCATCTGTGTTTTTGAAAGGAATGACCCAGTAAAGATTAACATAATGAACTCACCAAAAATATAAAATAAGAATTATATTTACATAAAAAATTATTTGGCATTTCAAAATTTAGTGCGCAAGTGACAAACAGACAGTTCCTTTGTGGAAATTATTATCACGCCTGGGTCCAAAGGAATCTTCAGGAATCCACAAACATAACATCCCAAAAGTCTGAAGTGGGTGGGATGGGCCAGTTTTCCAATATAGAAATGTGACAACCACAATGGGCTGTTCTGCGTTCTACAACTCCCCTGGCCCACTTCACTTTTAATGTCTTCGGAAATATGATTAATTTGTAGAACTCATCCAAGTTGAATATGTTCAGATTCAATTTTGTGGTGGCCAACCAAGCTTAGAATTTTCCTCGAGTACAAACTGGCAAAGGTTGGCAACAATTTGAGCTGAAAATGAGTCAAAACCAAAATCCATTTCTTAGCAAAAAAATTTATGCACAATATAGACAAACGTTCATAAATCTATTAGAGAAAAGAGGTAGAAAGAAACATAGATTGTCTGGAGCTATTTGAGACTCATGTAAAAAATTAATCACTAAATTTGTGTTTGGTTCTGTGTCGTGCTACCATGTCACGCCCAAAATTATAACCTCAAGCCTAAGCTAGAAAGCTGAACACAAACTTAATAAACACCACCTTATTCTTCCACAAACAATTGTGATGTATTCCTCCACCAGTACTTTCCTCCACTTCTCCTCTTTCTAACAATACAACTACCTAACCCATTTTCCCTTGTGCCATACTTGTACCCTAGTACTACGGTGACTTCCGCTGCTTGCTTCAAATAGAGCCGAGATCCTAAATTTGACCTCTATAGCCAAACAAGTCCCAAGTAAACCACCACAAGTGTTAGAGATCAGCATACCTAAATTTAACTCTATTTTTTTACCACACGTGTCCATCTAGTAAATGATTACTTCAATAAACGGCTTACCAGCATGTTAATAATGTACAGGACCAGGTTGCTCATCCCTTGGATATGGAGCCATGGAGGAACTAGGACCCTTCAGAGTCAACAGTGATGGACAGACTCTATTCCGCAATGACTATGCATGGAACGAAGGTAAGTGGAATCCATGTTATTTTGTGAAGTTAATGAAGACGTGCTATGGAATTAAATCAACCAACAATTCACAGTGGCAAACGTACTATTCCTGGAGTCCCCGGCTGGTGTGGGTTTTTCATATTCGAACACAACTTCTGACTATGAGAAAACCGGAGACAAAAGCACAGCAGAAGATTCTTACACTTTTCTTATAAACTGGCTTGAGAGATTCCCCAAGTACAAGACCCGAGACCTCTTCATAACTGGAGAGAGCTATGCCGGTCATTATGTGCCCCAGCTTGCTTACACCATCCTATCAAGGAACAATAACACGAACCAAACAATCATTAATCTCAAGGGCATTGCAGTGAGTATATCAAATCATCGTTTGCTATTTGAATTCTTTAGTTTTGATCACACTTCCATTCAGAAGACTAAAACCAAATTTCAATAAATGGTGCAGATTGGCAATGCTTGGATAGATGACAATACCAGTACACAGGGAATGTATGACTTCTACTGGACACATGCTTTGAATTCTGATGAAACCCATGCAGGAATTGACAAGTACTGCGACTATCTTACTGGAAATTATTCAGGCCCATGCTATCAATATCAAGGTCAAGGAGAACACGAATATGGAAATATCGACATCTACAACATTTATGCTCCACTTTGCCATTCATCGGGAAGCAAATCTGGTCCCCCTGGTTCTGTAAGTCCATACTCTAGTGACATTCATGGTTAGCTAGGAAGGCACACATACTTCGCAGAGGGACGCCGTCCAGTGTCGAACACGGCAGTTAGAGGGGTCGGATACGGCTAAAAGTATCATGAATAGTGAATTCAGTCGGACACGACTAAGAGACAAGATATGACAAGAAATATTTTTTTAAAAATGTATAAATAGACTATTAAAAGAGATGTTATTTTTATTTTTTTTTTAATATAATTTTTGTTATATAACTTATATACTATATGAATGGCGATAGATGTAACAAGATTTGATGAAAATTATGGATATTTATTTTGATCTATTTTAATTTTAACCAAAAATTTATGTTTACTAAGTCTTATTATTAATATTGTTATAATATAAACTTTATTTTTAATATATTACAATTCTATTATTATTAAAAAATATATTATATTATTTTAGTCATATCATTGTCGTACTCGTGTCCTATATTTTTTAATTTTATCATATTCCTATATTCGTACGGTATCAAATATGATACTTGTGTCCATACTCTACCATGAAATAAGGAAAGTAGTGAAAACAGTATGATCGAAAGAAGATAACTTATGGTTTTTTATTTTTTGAAGGAGAGGGAGAGGGAGAGGGAGGGGGAGGGGGGGTTGTCCACTGCATCATAGAGGTGGTAATACAATTCTTGTGTTCTGGAGACAATTTCATAGTTGGATTCAACTAAAAGGAGTATTACACACACGTGGTCGTTGACTAGTAATGACTACACACACCCTTTGTACTTAACTTGAGATTAGAATGAATTCTGAATGAGTTCACAACTTTCACACCATTTTTTCTTTTAAATTAATTAGAATGCTCAAAATTGAGACCAGAATGTCATCTAACAAAACCATTAAGGATTGATTTAGGACTCCCTATTTGAGCAAACCACCATAGCAGTTCATTCAAAATGATCTTTATGTTCCATAATCAGGTGAAAGACTTTGATCCCTGCTCCGACTACTATGTCTCCTCCTATCTGAATCTACCTGAGGTGCAAAAAGCTCTTCATGCCATGCAAACCAGATGGTCGGCTTGCAGGTACTGTCCTTTTATTTATATTATAGTATCATACACATGGTAACAGGGGTATCACACATCCCAACCTCAAAATTGATCAACTTCTCAAGTTTGACCTACGCATTGAACGTCATCTTATATCTAGATATGTATCATGTTCAATCAAAACAACTAACTAGCTTCCCTTCTGAATCTTGCACAGTGGTGTTGGCTGGACAGATAGCCCAACAACCATTCTGCCCACACTCAAGCAGCTCATGGCAAGCGGTATCAGTGTATGGGTCTACAGGTAAGTCATACATGTTTCAGCTCATATTATTCACCAATATCCATTATTTCTAGCATTGAACACTTGCAGTCTTAGGTGTGTTGATTGGAATAGTCTTCTGACAGAAACGAAAGCCTCAGAGGCGGGGGCAGAACTTGGCCATTTCATTGGGGGGCAGATTGAATAAAAGATCATTAAAGAATAATTTGTCCTATATTTTTAAGTTAAGGCCTTATATCAAAAGATCCCCACCCCTCCCCACTTCCATCGCGCGCGGGGGGGAGGGTTACATGAAGATCGTGTAGTAGAGCCTTGGGTCAAATAGCAAGTTCAGTTGCATCCTTGTAATATTCTCAGACTTATTCTACCTCAACTGGCCTGAACTCATATCTATAAGCTGTTAAAGTATAAATACTTAACTAATGCCCTCTACAAGAGTTTAAGGGCGTGTTTGGTTTAGTTTTTGAAAACTATTTTTTGTTCTCAAAATTTTAAAAACACTCAAAACTTATTTATTTAATTTTTTTGTTCTCCAATTTTTTGAAAATTTTGAGAATTGAGAGGTAATTTTAGATAACAACAAAATGATATTTTCATTATTTTTTAAGGTAAAATGAAAACAAAAGAAACAACTATCTCTAAATTAATGAGGTCTCCCCTTCGAGTTTCATTGGAGACAAAAAGGAAAGATTGTTTCATTTTCTCAAAAATCGTTTCACTGAGCTCCCTCTTTGTCTATTCATTCTTCTTTTCCACCTCTCTCTGTTTGTTCATTCTTCTTCTCCGCCTCACTAAGCATCTGTGTGTGTGTATGTGTGACTCTATCTCTATTTGTTGTGGTTGTTACCCAGCAATTGTGTTGTTGTCTTCGATGGTAGTTGTGAGTTTCGGTGGTGAGTCTTGGTTTCGGTGGTGGTTGTGGATTTTGGTGGTGGTTGTGGGTTCGGTGATGAGTCTGGGTTTTGGCGGTAGTTGTGGGTTTTGTTGGTGGTTATGGGTTCGGTGGTTCACTGTGTTTTGATGGTGGTTGTTCACTGTGGTCCACTATGTTTTGGTGGTTTACTGTGTTTTGTCTTTAGTTGTTTACTGTGCTTCGATGGTGGTTGTTCACTGTGCTATGTGGGTTTCAATGGTTCATTGTGCTTTGTGGGTCTTGATGCACAGTACAAGAGAGAGAGAGACAAAGGAGATGAAGATTATTATCCAAACAAATTTTTACAATTTTTGTTCTTTTAAATTATTTTTAAAAATATACAATCAAACAGATTTTGTAATTTAAAAATTTTAAAAACACTTTCTTAAAACTCTTTCTAAAAGTAGTTTTCAGACAATTTTTGAGATGTAAACTAAACAAGCCTTAAGTTTTTAGAATATATAATTGTTTAATATGGTATCAAAGTAAGAGATTCTATGCTCGAATCACGCTGCCATCCGAATTATTAAATAGAGTTTCACGTGTTAAGTCCAAAATCTAACAGGGCACGTTGAAATACAAATACTTAAATTGTCCCCTCTTTTGGAGTAGATGGTTGGTTAAAATAAATTAAGGTCACTCAAAATACAACTTTCTTACTGCACCAAACAGCAACTGAGACACTAAATGCACTAAACTTGCAGCGGTGACACTGATGGACGGGTTCCAGTAACATCCTCCAGGTACTCGATAAACACCTTCAAACTTCCTGTAGAGACTCCTTGGCGGCCATGGTATACTAACAATGAGGTAATATGTCTTCATTATTTAGTAATTCGTGGCCAGATATACGCAACAGCTAATTCAAATAAGTTCATGATGACGGCAGGTTGGAGGGTACGTGGTAGGGTACAAGGGAATCGTGCTAGCTACAATAAGGGGAGCTGGGCATATGGTTCCAAGCTACCAACCAGAAAGAGCTCTAACCATGATCTCATCCTTCTTTCAGGGAAACCTTCCTCCGTCGTCTTGACAGGATGATCCTCCAATTCCATTGAGTACTAGCATCATCAAAAGCTTATCAAACTGAAACTAGTAATAATCAATAGTGAAGTGTGAATTGTTGCAAAATAAATTTCATCTTTTATTGTCTTCCAATTTCTGATTGTAAAAACAAATCAAATAGCTAGTGATGGGAAAATGAGATTACCACAACTTATTAAAACATATAATTATTGCCTGAACCGCAGACATTGTTTCATAAAGATAATTTTTCAAGCAACTTACGCTAAAGTTAGAACTCAAAACAAAAAAGGGTACATCTACAGCATGAAATGCATACACAGTTCAAGAATCTGTATTTATAAAGCATCATCTCTCAAGAACCCTTTCAGTTACCTCATATAAAGCTCTGCCAAATGTACATTGTTACACTCCTATATGACAAACAGCCCGACATCTTTGCCTTTTGCTGTTGCAAACTTCTGGGCCGCGTTTCGACAAATTTCCACAGGGAGGCAGAAGTTTACATGCTCTGCACCTTTTTAAGAACCTGCAAGTGCCTTGGATGATTGATAGGTAAAGGAACAAGCACATTTATCATTGGAGAAAAAAGATGCAACCATGCTATGGTATAATTTACCTGTGGAAAGTTAGAACTACCAACGGACAACTTTTTCACCTTCTGTACTTAATCATGGACTCTTAATGCTTCAATAATGCTATCCACCCACCTGCAATAAGTAAATTCATGGGATTAAAAGGAACAAGGACTCCCAATACATTCATGTAACCACCTTGAAAATTTTTCTACTTTTCATTCTCTTTTCTTCCCTTTTCTTTTTCTTTTCCTTTGGGGGGTGGGGTAGGGTAAACACCAGCAGGTGATAACAAGCTCTGGTATGACGGGGCAATATCTGGGCATGTTCACTCATGTGGAAAAAATAAATAAAAAACTAAGGGATTCAAAAAATTATGACTCTAATTGGGCACAATGTGGAAACGGAAGTCTTCACAATACGTGCTCAAATTAAGAAACATCCATCATTATATATTAAATATATCAAATTAAAATTGCCTTTCTTATCAATTACCTTCAAGTTGACATTGTTATAACACTATATTTGGTGGAAGGAAATGGAAATGGAAAGCACGTCGAGTCCAATCTTGACAGCACTTACAATAATTTGCATTACCCATGATTTTGGTGACAACAAAAAATGGAAAAAGATAGACCTGACAAAACCAAGTTCAGCAACAGTGATGGCATTAGCTACCTTTTTTGGCCCCATGGATAAGCAAAACATAATTGAAATCACAATTGGCATCATTCACCAAATGAATAAAAATATTAAAGATCAAATTTGACTAGCATTGAAGGAAAAAAATATTAGAGAAATAAGTAATAGACAATTCTAATCCGATTTTCAATCTCTCCCTCCCCCAAAATCCAAAAAAAATTCAACCTTCAGACAATGGATAATACATTGAGCATGTGTTTATTTTGTCCGATGCAAAAAAAAAATTCCTTGAAAACACCATCCATGTCTTCAAATTAAATCCTTTCATTGAGCAACTGAATTAAATAAAAGAATAAAATACGTAGAGCATCAGTAAATTTCTTATGCTTTTATATACAAAAGAATATCCACGGCCTGTTAGCCCATGGGATGAATATAACAAAAAATATTAACATTCAAAACAAAAAATAATAACATTGAATATTAACATAAGTCGATAACATGAACATAATATTATTAAATGGTAAAATAAGTCAATAAAATTGAACAAATAATATGAAATAGTAACATTTCAAATCAAAGATAGTAATATTGAACAGTAACATGAAACATTAACAAATAAAAAAGTGAGCGCAATAGCGTTTTGCGCAGTGGCCATGGGTTGCACGGTAAGGTTTCTAAAGAAAAAGAAGAATTGAAGGAGAGCAATCCAAAATTTTTTAAATTTCAGATCTGAAATTGGGACGATATAAAAATTGCAAGCAGTTGAAGAATTATGATCTCCAAATCAATTTGAAAACTCCTTTTGAAGATAAAACAATCTATTAAAGGGTGTTAGAGTAATAAAAAAAAAAGTTTTTAGAATGAACTTAACTACCAAATAAAATTATTAATATAGGACTTAATGACACAAATGTTTAAGGCTCGAACTTGAAGTCTTCTAAGTCTCGTAAATAGGACTGGCCCAATTATCACTTGTTTTCTCTTTTTATATTTGTCTGTCGTAACAAATGAATACCACCAAATCATTGGGATTGATCCGATATGTAACCCAGTAACCGTTAAAGTTGGCCCAGTAGATAAAAGTGAACCTCTTACCTCTTTTTCTTTAGGCAAGCTAACTCTACAGCCGTTGATGGAAGCCCCGTTCTTACCCTTAAGTAGGACTGTAATTGGATTGTGTCCTGTTAGTTTTGTGTTTTGTGTCATGTTTAGTAGTTGTTGTGCCAAAACTTATTCAACCCATACCCACGTGTTTAGAGTCATTTAATGTCAGATGTTGTCTTGGGTTCATATATCATGTGTAAGTTGTCTATAAACCGAATTTAACGGATTAGTATCATATTTAATTGATTTCAAGAAACTCATTTATTCGGGGAGCTGCTCCATTACAACTCCAATTCGCTAAAATTCAAGTCAAATCTGCCAATTTCGTGTCTGTTTCGCAAACTGTGACTAAAATTGGCAAACCTGCCCTTAGGCTTTGCAACATCATGCGTAGCCGATGGAAAAAGGAACAGAATATATCAAGTTCTATAATGTAAAAAGTAAAAACTGTGTTATATCATCACTCACATACAGTGATGGCATTAGCTGCCTGCTTTGGCCCCATGGATAAGCAAAACATAATCAAAATCACAATTGGCATCATTCACCGAATGAAATTCTAGCAAAGCAGTAAAGCATGGAATAGGGAGGATAGCAGATTATATCTCATACATTATTTGATAAATTCCTTGTCTGCTTGGTATGTTTAGATATAATAGAGTATACACTTACCAAAGTGACTTCGAATATATTTGTTTCCGTACTAAAGTACCTACCTTGAACTTAAGTGAAACTATTACACGTAATTTTGTCACTCACTAATGGTGGGTGATCTAATTTAACGGACACTGAAGGAAAAATATTAGAGGAGAACTGATGCAAATTGTTCCCAAATAATTAGATTAAAATAATCCTCACAACATATTAGCATTCAACCTGTGAAGCAGAAGAGAGTAAGACAATTTGAGAAAAAACTAGTTAATAGCCCAAGTATTAAATATGAGAGAAAACGGAACTTACCACGCGATGGTATACGTACCAAACCAAAAAACATCGATCAATTGATGATTTGCCATTTTGGAAAAGGATGTTCTAACAACAGCTGGCCACATAAGATTTTCAGACAACTATGTCAAACTAATTTTACACAAACAATAGTTATTGTCTATAGCCTTAACATAATATATCCTCGTCCCTACATTCCTTCCACTCACCTATATAAATGCATGGGACTTAACAAAACTGCTCAACACTCCAAAAACTGATATCAACATGAAAATGGAGGTCTCACCTCTACCTTGGCTGCTGCTAGTATTACTCTCTTGCCACCAACTGACTTTCCCTACCCTCTGCACTGCCAACCAAATCAACAAGCTTAACGAATTGATCGAGTCTCAAAGATCAAGTAATCCTCCTCGCACAGAATCACGGTAGAAACTGATTTTGTTGACAGACCAGTCTACGTTGGACCTCAAGATGGGTTGATGGGAACTGATAAGATTGATGCTTTGCCA